TTGCCTGGAAATGCCGCTTTGAAATCGCTTATCGCTTAATCAGTAAAATTCAAACATCGGCTCATTTCAAAAAATTCAAACGCTTTCAGTCGCCTGGTCGTTTAATCCCGAATCCAATAAAAAATGTTTAATGATCTTAATTGCACTAATTAAGCCGTATTTAAGCTAGGATTTGACGTGCGTTTTTATCAAATCCGCCAACAGTGAATTAAATATTTGCCTCTGGATTACACAGGTTGATCTAGAAGCGGCGGTTAAAAACAACGCAATATTGCCTAAGAATGTCGGTAGACTTTTACGAAACAATTGAAAAAACGACGACTTTTTTATGTGATTCAACCCCTAAATGTAAAAAACTGGATTCACTACACGAACGGGCGAGATTTTTTTGTTGTCAATCCATCCCCCCCGGCTGGAAAACTTGTTTGATCGGCCATGAATCGACACACTTTTTAAAATATTCAAATTTTTATTATAAGAAGGGCTGGCGATTTGCATACGGCACATCTGTGCCCTGTAACAACCCTAAAAATACGATTTTGACCCCTTTAGTGTGCGCGGGATCCCTTTTATGCTTTTAATGGGTTTTATCACCCTTTTTGTTGCGATTTTTTAATTTTAAAGCTGATTCGTTCACTGCTTTGGATTTGTCATTCGAACTTTTCAGCTTAGCTTATTGAAAATTTACACGAGGCATGTGAAATACGAAATACTTCTATGAAAAATTCTTTAAATGGAATATAGAAAGTTTTGTGTGAGTGTGAAATTTATTATATTTTAATGGAAATTGAATGAAAAATTTATTTAAAAAAAAGTGAATTGAAATATTTGGCTCATTTCTCCAATTTTGAGGACGTGGAAAAGTTCAATATTTTACAGGGTTTTAAATAAATAACAATACATTTGTAAGTACATTCTTTTGATATAAAACATGTGTCTTGTTTTAAAATTTTGCACCAAATGACTTTTCACAACTAACATTTGACTATGTTCATCTCAGGAATCGGAAAACCGTCTTGCTTTTCTAAAAAATACAAAAGTACAAATAAACAACAAAATAATATAAATTTAATAAGCGTTTCGACTCTTGTACGACTTTTATTTGGGTGTTTTGCTGCAAATAATTGCTGAACAACTATTGGAATTAAGTAAAAAATTAAATGAGTGCAAGCATTAAATGAAGTAATAGAGTGGATGAGAGCAACAAAATGGAAACGTGAGAAAAGAAAACAATGTGAAAAAGAACAAGAAGCTCATCGTGTTTTTTCTTTAAGCATATTATCTGAAACATGCAAACCAAATAATAATTTTTTTGTTAAATCTGCTGACAATGGTCTTAGATATTTTTGTCAAATAAAGCGGTTTCAAATAAAACGCTCAAATCATCCAAAAAAAAATTATGAATAGAAATTATGACTTAAGAATACAAAAGCCAAAAAGCAATTTTTTTCTTAAATCACTGAAAATTCTCTTAGATCCTAATTGAATTTTTTAAAAACAGAGCGGGTTACGAAAAATGCTAAAAAATTCCAAAAGAAATCGTGAATAAATATAATACTTCATTGAGAAGGCGACAGAATAGACATCAATAAATAAAACTACAAAATACAGAAGCCGAAAAGAAAGCCAACAAATATTTTTTTCTCAAATCCACTCAAAATTGTTCTAGATCCCAACAAAAACTTTAAAAAATTAAAAAACTAAAGCGGATTACTGAAAACGCTAAAAACAGTGAAAAGGAATCATGAATAAAAAGAGTTCATTGAGAACGCGACAGAAAAGATTGCCATAAATAAGACGACATAATACAAAAGCAAAAAATTAATTTCTTCTTAAATCGACCGAAAATTGTCTTAGATCCTAACTGAAAATTAAGAAGATAAAGCAGTTTTCTAAAAGCGCGGAAAACATCCAAAATAAACCAGGTTTCTGAAAATGCTTAAAAGATCCAAGAGCAACCGAACGAATATTGAGAAGACGACATAATGCAAACATCCATAAATAGCAACAGACTGAAAAAGAAGGAAGAGAAACCCATTTCAGTTTAGACAAAAATAGCATATAATGAACAAGGAATGAAAATGTTTGTGAAAAAATTGACGAAATGTTCTTATTAGCAAGTTCGGAAAACAACCCAACAAGCCCTAAAATATCGGCAATGCTTGTTTTTTTTAAATAATTTCCGCAGATTTCTTGGGGTTTTCACGACACTGAAACTCACGTAAATATGTAAACTTGACCACACCTAGTAAAAGAACAATGCCAAGCACATTAGGTAGTAATTTGTCATCGGCAAACACAATTGACAAGCTTCAGCGAGCGTTTGAGCACAAAAGTGGGTAAACAGTCCGCAGCTAGATTTGTCAATTAAAACAAACCATGAACAATATCTTTAAATAATTATAATGAATGTATCTTGCCCAATAAAATCGATCTTATCACGGTATGGCCGGCAGTAATGCAATAATAACGAAACCAAATTCGTGCACTGCGAAAAATTTGTTGTTTGAAAATCGTGTTGTATTGATCAGATCTGTTTGGTACGATTTTGTATTGAAGAGCCACTAAACCCTTTATAATATATTAATCCGTGATTGGCTTCACGGTTGAAATTTGTATTCCGCTCCACAAAGTAGCCGGGTATCAATGGAAACATCAGGCAGGCAGTTCTTGTTAGGATTTAATTCGTTGCCTCTCAGTGAAAACAAACTAATTATATGCGGAACGTTAATGGCCAATAAAAAACCTTACGAACACCCTGTATATCTCATCGATAAGCCCGAAAGCGACCCTATTAATACCATTGGAAGTCGAGCATTCCCAAAAAGATTATTTTGTATTCGGGCTGAGACACTTTTGGGTCGTTAAATCGATTTTATAACTTACTTTACGGGCGTCTTGCCTTAAATTTCGGCCAATAAAACCAAGAAATTAATGCATTTTTTACCATAAAAAGGTGCTATCTTATGTCGTTTACCTCTTTTAAAATTCTTTTCGACGGTTTTGGGCCTTGTCGGACAAAAGACGAAGCGAATCCGCCAAGTCAATGAAAAATAAAACAAACCACGAGGGAAAAAAGTAACCTTGATTGGCTTTTCGAGATCGGGTTTCTGTTGTAAAATTAAGTGAAAATTGGTGCGCTTTTTTGGCCATCTAATCACATGACGGTATGACGACGATTTACACAACCTAGATGGCGGAAAATTTACACTCGGGCAATAAAACGCCTCGAGGTACCTCTAATTTTCTAGCTAATTTGCTTTAGGATTTTCTTCGGTTTATTATGCTTAAAATTTACCGTCGTCGGTCTTTCTAATTATTGTAAAACTTAACTACCGCCTGCTCATAAATTCTCCACCGTTTTGTGCCGTAACAGGGAGTCAAAGTAAGCCAACGCTTATAAAGATTTCTTTCCGTTCTATTGGATCTTCAATCTTCAATCAAACAAGCGGCAGGCAAAGCGAATTCGTTATATTCTTCAAGTATATGTGTATAAAACTGCAATTCTAATTTTATTTTTGCAATTTTTTTGGCAAATATTATTTATATTCACTCTTAGTCACAATTGTTTCAATTTCTTTTTCATGCCAGAGACGTTAGATGAATTTTTAGTCACTCAGTTTTCTTCGAAACTGTTCCATAATATTAGTCTGTGGTTTTTTAACGCTTCATTAAAATTTCTCTTAAAAATATCAGAATAGGAAAATAAGTTTTTTCGTTTAGAAGTTGCATGCATTTTTAGAAGTCACGCTCACATTTTTCCAAAACAATTCAAGAATCTCAAAGTATGTGTTTTCTTTAAAGTTTTAGTAACTTTGTTACCCAGATAAATTGACTAAAATCTAAAAGTCCTTTAAAAATTGCATAAGTTTTAAGAAGTGACACTCAGTTTTTTTCCGAAACAATTCAATTATCTGAAAGTATGTGGCTTATCGTCGATTTAAATTTTTAAACAGGCATAAACTAACCAACTAGTTAAGCGCATTGTTATAGCTTCCAAGAACAAACTTGCGCTTGATATAACTGAACAAAACATGTGTAAATTGCGCAATACTCTATTATAAAATATTCAGCTAAGTACCATTAGTAAATACAGGGTGTGAAGTATGTTAATCAGATTAGAAGCGATTCGTATTAAATTGATGAATCGACTTGGAACAATGTATTTGTTAATGTTGTTTAATTGTTTGGCCAGTTGTTGTTCAATTTTTCTTGATGTCGAGACAGAAAATTTATGATTTTCTGAATATAAAATGCTCACCACGCCTACGTGAATACGGCGCCCATAAACATAGAAAATGTTTTAGTGGCACTATAAAGTAAAATACAACTGGAAAAGTTAATAGAGAATTTTTTCCAAAGTCTGAACTGAAGGAACAGCAATATAAGCGTCTGTTGGCCGGTTTCAGCTTAATCACCGTTCAGATCTCCATTAAATCGAACATTCCAAAAACCCCTTAAAAGGCGTCATAGGTTTGTAGGGGCATTAAGGCCGAATGAAAAACGTCGTTTTATTGAAAATATGATTTAAAACGACAAGATACGTTACGTAGTTTAGCGCGGTAAATGGCCGATTTTATGCCTTATATGTTTTGATATTGCTGTTATGTGGTGTCGGATTTTTTTTCATTTTTCGCTATTGCTCGACATTGTTCCTAATCGATCCAGTTCCACTGTGGGAAATTCAGGTTTTTTCCGATTTAAGAGCAAACTCCCAGTTTTCTTTTGCCACCACTTTAAGCCTACGACTAGAACAAACCGAAATTAAAAAATGTTTCTCGAGTGAAAAAACACACCGTTTAAAGGACATTTATGTATATTACAATCGTAACTCACTTTGGTAGCCACTAGGTATGTGCGGCTAACTTTAAATTCATTTATATGCTAAACAGGCAATACTATGAGACAGGTAATGTCTCCCGGTGTTTTACAATGCTTTTTAAGCTCAAATCCTCACCAGGACCGGCTCTGGATATTCATTTTTTTTTCGATTGTTTCAGGAATGTTGGCGGTTTTATGTTGGCAGCAATGGCTACTGTTACCACAGGCATTTTATCACCAAACTCCTACGTTTTAAGCCCAGGTAAGAATAAAAAAAACACTTTAACTAGCAAAATGTCATTTAACGCCCTGTATATTTATGAAGTTTTTTTTCTTCTCTCTTTTATACAGTGGAACGAACTTCAGAAGCAAAAAATCCCCTTTTCGGATTAAGCCAAGAAAATTTGCTCCAAAGGTTAAAATAATCAGCAGCTCGTTTCGTACTGAGTTTAAAGAAAAAGTGAATGTGAAATTTTTTATGGAAATTTGTCTTCCTTATCCAGTGCCGCGCTAAGAATTTTTCCGGCAGTTTTAGTTTTCGGGAAATCAAGTGAAAATTATCTTAGATGCTAATTGAACTTTAAAAAAACAAAGCTGGTTAGGAAAGATGCTAAAAATATCAAGAAATCGTGAATAAAAAGACTTCATTGAGAAGACTCCATAATAGACATCAATAAATAAGACTACCGAATACAGACGACAAAAAATGTATTAAAAAAAACCAGCAGCTCGTTTCGTATTGACTTTAGAGAAAAAGTGAATATGAAATTTTTAATGAAAATTTGTCCTCCTTATCCAATGCCGTGTTCAGAATTTCTCCGTCTGTTTTAGTGAAATTAAGTTTTTTGTTTGAAAACTACCGATTTGGCCATTCTGCAAAATCCCTTGAGTGCAAAAAAATATCCGGATGTTTTATGAAAAATTACGTTTTTGTTGGTAAAACTGTGTTTTCGAGAAAAATAATTAAATGTGAATTTTTGTTTTTTTACATTTTTTTCAAATATCAACCAGTGCATTTCATGTAGATAAATATGGTTCAAATGTTCACTTCAATTAAATTTAAATTTTCAGGAAATTTACTTAATTTCATACAGATTCTATACTTACATTTAGCAAACGCATCCACTGGAACTTGAAAAAATCGTCAGTAACTCGCTTTTTTTAACTTTAGAGAAAAAGTGAATACAAGTGTGTTTTTGGTAAATTACGCCCTCTATTCAGTGCCGTACTCAGAACTTCTCCATTGTTTTTGGTTTTAGAGATATGATACATTTTTTCGCCAGCGCTTATTTGKCAATTTCCTCAAAACTATGTAAAAAGMGATTTTRCAAAAAACACTATTGGATAGCATGTAAATAACCAGATATTTTACAGGAAATATCTTTTTTTGATAAAAAAATCAGTTCTAGAAAAAAAAATAATGCGAAATTTGASCAAAATTCTAATGGCACAAAACATAAAATAAAACGATCATAAATTAACATTTTTGGAGATTTTGGCGCATCGTCAGACAATTTCTTACATTTTGCATTGAAATGGCACCAGAACATGCATCATAACGATGCGCTTAAGCTTAGTTTTGGATATATTTAAATCAAACAAAAACTGCCCTCTTTAGGCATGAAACTAATATTCAATTGGACGAATCAAAAATTTTACTTAAGTGAATATATTTATGAAAAAATGACAAAACAAATCAATTTGTCAACAAATGCGAGGATTTTCTACTTGGGAAAGAAGATTTTTTGCATTTGATCTTAGAATTTATTGTTGGATTATTAATTAGGGTTTTAGTATTGATCATTTTAGAATTCCCTTAGTAGCTTAATTTTTCTTCGGACTTTCAATTGACATTCCTGTCGCGTTTTTGTTTCTGAAAAAAAATGTATGTTTTTATCACACTGGAAAAACAACTTTCCTTGCTTGCTTTTCCTGCTTCCTTTCAGAAAATAATTTTATAGTTTTTATCAGCATTTACTACTAATTTTACAGACTAAAATTTTAGCATCATTCTGGAAAAGGTTTAGTTTTGTTGCTTATTAGCGCAAAATTCTCAAATATTATCAACTAACTGTGTGAATGTACTGTTAACATTTTGAATTGTTTCTATTTTCTTTCCTGTCTTCACCTGATTTTCCTTCATTTCTTGCCTTTGGTTTCGTTTTCGAAACTCTTCTAATTTAGCAGTAGGAAAAAATCAACTCCTGTTCGGGGACACTATATAAGCAAAAACTACGATAAATTTACGTGCGCTCTCAAGTCATTTTCCTTGCAAATACCTCTAAAGAACTTCACATGTAAATGTGCGAGAGAGTGTTGCAAAATACACCCGACGATTTAGGCTTCGTGCTCATTCGCTTTATAAATAATTAATAGTTTCTAAACAAATGCAAATTTCGGACACCCGATTTCTTGGTCGAAATTCTCGTTATGCATTTATGTATTTTCAATTTTTAATAGGAGATAAGAGACTCAATAAAATCAATTTTTGCATATTGGCTTTGTTTATATTTTCCCAGCGAATTGATGCACGAAAAAGTGACCAACCTGAAAAACCAGTCAGTTTGGCCAGCGTTTTAAACCTATAAACAAAGCGACATCAATATAAAATAACGAAACCAAATAATCAGTATCGACTGAATGGCACACACACGGCTGACAAAAAGTGTCGCATTTCGAAAATATCTAGACGACAAAAATTGCGCTTCTTTCTGAAACTGGCAAAAATTCTGTCTGGAACCGTTTTTACACAAAAATATTTCGTTAAACGAATGCATCGGCCAAAACGTGCCCGGTTTTAGTAAATTTTAATAAAAACTTGCAAGAATTTCGACCGAACCTGGTCAGAAATAATTAAAATTTGTGCTGATGGCAATTTCACAGAATCACCGTCTCATCTTGAATTTTTAGTTTAGATGGGCCCCCCTTTTTTTGCAACTGCGGGCATTGTTGTGTGTTTTATGTTTCGCAAGGTTATTAAGGATTTTTCACATTTTTAAACTCGTTCTTAAAATATAATTCTTTTGATTTATCTGCTGACTGCTTTCAACCGTATCGGACTTTGGCTGTTTGTTGCTTTTGTGGGCGCCATTTCGAATTGTCAGGATAAAATAGTTGAACCAATTTTTTAACTTACAAGAGTGATTCAGCAGGAAAGGGAAATATTTTACGGGTATTTACACAAATTTTTGCTCGCTCATTTGTGCATGTCCGATTTTCGTTTGTTTCTGATACACACACTAATTGCAATTTAAAAGGGGACCAAAGATATTATTTTTTCGGTCAACTCAATTGTAAAATGTTACAAAGATTGAGTCTAAAACTTGCAGTCTTGGTCCTAGTGTTTCAAAAAAGTGTTGCTTTGCTCATCGCTATTGTCCTGTGTTTCTACTATGTAAAAATTTGAACTCGCCATTCAAATTGGTTTGAAAGTAGTAGAAATTTCCCAGAATCCTTGCGGGCTCAAGTAGAAATTATTGCAAAGAACAACATGAGTTGGGAATCATTGATCTAAGAGTAATAATTGCAGTTTGGTCGAAACGACGCTCTCCAGCCACCATCAAGTTCCTACTGTTGACAATCAACAAGAAGTACGTTTACATTGTAATTATTGCGCGATACATTCCAACAATCAACCGCATACGTTTCCACCTCGCATGCAACTTTTTCTGTCAATAACTCGAGAACGCATTTGTGTTTACTGAACACTTAGACGGTCGTATTCTTCACATTTTATTATTTATCAAAAATGCGCCTTTTCACCGTTAAATAAACCCCGTATTCCGGAAAGTAATGTTTGTCGCTTTTTCAACTATTTTAACACCTTTTAAACCTGTTTTCGGTGCACAATCACATGTGGTTTTGTTTCATTTCAGATGCGGTAGCCTTGAAGCTCGCCCATCCAGAACCCATGGAAACCTACCATCACAGCCGGAACACCTTTGCTCATTCAACTAGTTACTCAGAATCGCACAATTCCAGCGACTCAGAACAAGAAGTGCCATACACGCCGCAATCGCCCAGCAATCGAACGCTGAACGTATCGGAACCAAAGAGAAACAAGAGAAAAAACTTCAAGCCTCGTTGCTCCCAGAATCCGCCGCCTGAGGACGATGGAGCGATGAATCTGCCTGAGTACAATGAAAACAACAATGTGAACAACAATGTGAGACGACGGAAGGCGCTGACTGGGCCGAGGAAGGTTATCCAGGAGTTTACGCCTATAGATCTGAGCGGCTCCAAGCCGGATTCAGAAGCCTCGGAGCGTCTCAGTCACGACTCGGAGCTGCTGAGTCAGGAATCGGAAACGAAAAACGACTCCGACAATTCGGACTCGGATGATTTTAACACTGAGAACTATCGCACTTCGGAAAATGAGGAGGCCAAAGAGGACTCGGAAGGAATATCCGAGGAAAACGACTCTAGCAAAATACCCAGCAGCTTTTCCATACACAACTTGAGCAAGCCACATGTGGCGGAACAGGGACAGAATTTGACGGCGGACCAAATTTCTGAGATGCGCAGCTATGCAATGAACACCATGCGGGAACTGTTGGGCATTTATGGACTCACTTCTGAGGTGGCCGAAAGCATTTCCAGACAGTTGCCGTTGGCTGCGTTCACCACTGGTAAGTTCCGAGCTTGAAATTGTCTCACCGAGTACCTTTCTCGGTCAGTTATTTAACACCTCATTTCATTGTTTGTCTTTTAATTGTGTCTCGTGCTGGACCATAAGAAACAATCAGAACCAGATTTTCTGCCGCATGCAACCGCCGTAATGCCGCAATGAGTCTCCAAACTGGTTTAGTTATTATTATGATTATGGGTTGCTCATAATCCTGGAGTATTAAGAGTTTAAGATTGGGGGCTTCCAATTAGCTGCCGATGCTCTTTCATGTGCTCGCTTAGCGGACAGAGAGTTGGATTTTTTTCGATGCAACAAGTTTGCTTCATATCAATATTTGTATCTCAATGGTGGCCAAAAGTGGAGCTTTTGCGAATTTTGAATGATCCTCTACGTATGTGTAACTGTCGCTTTTGTTCAAACGTGTTTTTTATATAATTCAAACTCTATTGTAACAACAAAATATAAATCGCAATTAAACACAATATAGTTGTGTGTTTACTTCATCCAAGTCTGGGATGTTTTTGAATTTCCCAAACAAAAGGAACCAGACTTTTTGCTCAGTGTGAAGGGACGATTTAGGCAAAATTTAGTGGCGTAAAGTTTTTTGATAGAGTATGGGAAATTTAATGCAGGTTGCATCAGTGGCGTGCCCAAAAACATTTTGCCTGCCCTGGACGCCTGTTTAGCTCTAGATTCCAACTCTTTTAAGTGCTAAAAATTGCCGACGTTCTCACCGTTTCTTTAGGTCCTTTATCAAGGCGATATTTTAGGCGAAAAGGTCGTCGCAACATGAAATAAGATAAACAAAAATCGGAAATTTTAAATCACCAGCCACTCGCTTGCTACCGACTGTAGAGGAAAAGTGAATACCATCAATTTAATGGCCAGAAACTTCCTCCATCCAGTGCGGTCCTCAGAATTTCCAGATTTTCAGATCTGGAGCATTTTTCAATTTTTGGCAATTTTTCCAAAGCCAAAAGCCGGACATTTTATAAAGAATAACTTTTTTTTTTTGATGAAAAGAAGAAAACGCAAAATGAAACTAGCAAAATCTTACGTGTTTGGGAAATTTTGCTTTTGGGAACGTTTTTCTTCGTAGGAATCATCAGAAAATCCCTTGCATTTTGCATTGAAATCGTATCAAAACAATGCGCGTAAACTTGGTTTTAAATATATTTAAATCAAAGAAAAATTGTCAAATCAAGGGCAGAAAGACCGATTGGGTCGATAGCCTTTTTCTGTAGGAAATAAAGATTATTTATATATATATATATATATTGTCAAATCAATCATTTTTAGGCATGAAACCAACATTCTGAACATTGAGCGAAGTAGGTATTTTATTTAAGTAAGTGATATTAATTATCAAAAATCGGCAAATCAAAGTAAGTTATCAACAAAAGGGAGATATTTTTGTCTTTTGCGACATTTTAACTTATAATCAACTTAAAATTTTTATAAGCAGATATGACTATAATGTGTGTCCTAAAAACATTACTTATTTTCATTTTCTGCTAATTTTTAAGCATCCTTAGCAACACGAATTGTCGTTTTTTAGTTGAAACGTGTTTTTTTGTTCATTATCCAAACGAGTTCTTGTAAAAACAAAATATAAATTGCATTTAAACACAACATATTTATGTGTTTACTTCATTCAAGTCAGGGATATTTTTAATGTCACAAACAAAACAAAAAATATTTTTTTCCAGTGTACTTGTTTTGTAGTTTGAAAAACTAAATATTAGAAATCGCTCTGCTGTGGTTCAGAAAACTCTTCATTCTCTTCATCTTTGAAATCCACGCTTCTTCCCTTCGTCCTGAGTTAAATCCTGAAGAAGGAAATTACATTTTCTGAAAGCTTGGCAATTGACGCGGAAGATTTTTCTCTGACGGCTAAAACTGAGCGATTTTCATACTTTGCACTTTTTATGCAGCGTTTTGCTCAACTTTTTCATGCGAAAAGGTCTTCGACAAACGACATTTTAGCATAAGAAATCGAGCGATTTTTGCCATTCATTTTTTGTGATAACGATCTGCTGCTCCAAGAAAAAAATGTTTTGACGGAAAAATTACCATTAACTAACTGGTCGTCTGTGCAGTTTTTTAAAGTTGCTCGCAATACTGGGCATAAAATTCAATGGGGATTCGGAAACCGTTCAATGGCTAATAGGGAAAAAATTACCGAATTAACAACATGGACTGTTTTTCAGTTGAATTTCTCTCTAAATATTTCAATGGTCAAACGTGGAGTTGAGGTAAAATTGGCGAATCAAAATACATGTATGTACCGGTAAAGTACTGAAAATTATCGACCCGTTTCCGATATGTGGGTTGATCTGGTTTATTTGCTTTCTTTCAACCAATTGCCCAACCTTGTCTAGAACGCTGCACTGATTCGCACTTAATGACTGGAGAATGAGGAAACATTCCGGCCTGGCTCGGGCCTGAATATACAAATTAAGGAGAATACAGATGATGACAATAATAATAAAGAAGACAGGCGAAAATGAAAATACATGTTCATGCATTAACGTTATTGCACATCTTGACATTCGACAGTCGCGCCTCGGCTCATTAAAATATGAATTCACTTGAGTATTTACCCTTTTTAAAATATCAATTTCTCTCTAATTCGTTTATTAAATGCAGCTGTGCATACAGATGTGTTTTAACATTTTAAAAAGTCGTATATTCGAGCTAAACGTACAGTTTTTTCGGATGATTTCTAATGTAAACACATTTCCGTTAAATACGCTAGACGCGTTAACATTTTTATGACTTCATTAGAGTGTTCGATGCGTAGAGTTTTTGCCTTTTGCTGCAGTCAATAAACGTAATTCTAAGTTAAAATTTTCGTATTGTTTAATGGAAAGGTTAGAGTGAGTTTTGCCAAAGTTTTTGTCCGATCTAAAAGAGTGTTTTTGCGTGCGGGATCAGTACAGGACACTAATTTATGTAAAAGTTCTGTCTGGTTTACGCAAATGTTTCATGTTCAATGAAAATTTTATTTCCGTCTTCAGAGTTTAACTGCCGTTTCTTGCCTTGGCCCTGGGAAGAAACACGAGTTGAACCCAGAAAAAAAATCCTAAAGCTTGATAATTTTGCGCAATTTAATTATCTGAAAGTAAAAGAAAAATGTGGAAAATAATGAAAATCGTTCAGTTGCGAGCTTCAGAAAAACTCTTCTGAGTCAACTATCAAGTTTTCGGAAAATTTCATTTCCTCTTCTGCGACGTTTTGCACTGTAATTTAATAATCTGAACGTTGCTGTAGGTACATGAAAAATGTGGAAAATATTGGAAATAGTTCTGTTGTGGTTTTCAGAACATCATTTTCTGAGTTAATTACCAAGTTTTCGGGAAATTTTGCCTCCTTCCTTACCTCGTGTTTCTTTCCAGGGCCAAGGGAAGAAGCACAAGTTAAACCCTGAAGGAGGAAATAGATTTTCCGAAAGCTTGGTAATTGGCTTCACAACCACAACAGATCGATTTCCATATTTTGCGCTTTCCACAATTATGCAACGTTTTGCTTAAGTTTTTCATCGCAATTTAATAATCTGAACGTTGTTCTACATGAAAAATGTGGATATCGTTTTGTTGTTCGCTTCAGAAAAATACTTTCTGAGTGGTAATTGACTCAAGTTTTCGGCAAATTTTATTTATTTTTCTGAGGAGGTAAAATTTTCCGGAAATTGGTGATTGATTCAGGCGATTTTTTTCTTGAACCACAATATCAGGTGAATTTACATATTTTTCTATTTTAAGTCGTTTTGCATTGCAATTTACAATGTTATCTGAACGTTGTTGAACATGAAAAATGTGGAAAAATCTGCCTTTCGCCCCGCGAGAAAACACGAGTTGAACCCTGAATAACATAAAATTTTCGAAATCCCAATAACTGACTGGGAATATTTTTATTTGCAATATTTTCCTGATTGTTCAAAGGTTTCCTTCCTTTTTGCATCGGATATGTATGATTATGGAAAAAACTGCAAAAAATGTTATTTGTTAATAACGGTTTGATTGCAAAATCTCTCCAAAAAAAAATGGTGTAGTTTCCCGTGTATTATTGAGTGTGAAATCGTCGTAAAAATTCAATAAAACCCCGTTCTGTTATTTCTCGGTAACTAAAGCGAATTATTAGTGACATTTGGGTTTTATGCGAGGCCGCTAGAAGAATATTGAGTGGATTGCGCGCGGAATTTGCCGAGAATCTAAAGTTTCCGATTTTAATGGGGCTCAAATCTGGGCAGTGGGCCGGACCCCGTTTCAATGGTGAATTGCGCCCACACAACAATCTACAATTCAGAATTGCGATTTATTCATTACTAAGCCGAAATCCGTCTGGAAAATGATTTTTTGTGTAATTACAGGCTTAGATTATGTAGTAATTTCGTCCGCCTCCAGCACTTATGCTAGTTGAATGTTGAATCGCTTTGTCGCCAGAGAGTTTACCGAAAAAATACCGAAACGAACAATACCAAACCCCATTCTCCGAGTGAAAACACCTAATTTTAACCCAATTCAATGGTAATTTCAATATGTTATTAATATTTTTTGGAGGAGTGCCGCCCAGCTCCATTGTATTTAAAATTATTGTTTATTGCTTTACCAGCTTTATATGCGTATGCCTAGTCACTTCTAATACTCCGATATCTAACTTAACCTTAATTCTTTCTGAATTCCATTATTAGAATAATGCGGTTGTGGCGACATTTGAATAAACTTGTCTTGTTACATTCTTTTTACGGGATATTAAAAAAGACGAGGTGTAGTTTTGACGAGGCTGTCAAACGAACTGTGAATGAATATTTATGGGAACATTCCAAACTAGTTTTCCTTATTTTTAAGTCACTGACTGATCGCATTTCCTTCACTAATTATTCGCCAGTTAGTCGAAAAATTCACATGCATTTTTCCCCAGTTGTTATCCGAAGCAATAAGCAATTTCGAACACACATCACAAGCCATTGTTCTTCGACCGGCGACGAGTTAAAAGATA